CATCTAACTTGGCGACTGGATGCTCTGTGGCATAGCGCGGAAAGAAGGTAAAAAACGAAAGCGTACACCTTACTTCACTGACCACACGTTTGGATCACCCGTACCGAGTTCAAAGAGAGGAATATTGACAACTACTCTGATTCATCTTCATAGCAAGCCAACAAACCGATGCCTGCTCCAATTCCTCAACGAAGGAATCTAACACGGCTGTACAGATTTTGAAGGCTTAAAGGATACTTCCCGATAAGTACCGCTTTCCATTCGCCAGAATTGCGCTTAAGCCAGCCTAGGCAACCTTAGCTCCTATATTTCATGCCCTCAATTTTCGAAAAAACTATCATAATTTTTCTTAAACTTTAAAAGATAAGTAGGATGGAAGTCTGCTTACCCTCAGAATTTGACCAAAGTTTTCCAACAGCTCCTGTGTAGACCACACTACTTGGACGCTGCTGCTGTGTCTGTTGGGCAAGGTGGTTCTGATGACCAGCAACGCCACCGGGATGAGGACGGCGTTGGACTGAGTGTTGGATAGTCTCCGCATCTTCCGTTTCTTTCTAGAAGACAGTAGAAAGACCTCAAGATCAGGAGTCCTCGATACCCATGCTTTGGGTAGATGATCGACGGTTAAAACAGATGAAATTTTACAATAATACAAAAAAATTCCAACTATTCTGACCTCAGAAACAATCATAGGTCGATTGGTGAGGCGGTGTTTCGTAATGATTAACCAAACCCTCAATAATGCGCCTAATGCAGTTTTATTTTACTCCACACGGGATTAAATTAGAGATAGGTAACCAGACAAGTACATTTCCAGTGGCATTTCCAATCACCCTCCTTCTATTCCAATAAGTGTGAGTCATTGATGGGGCACTGTGGCGTGCCTAGTCATGGATTAATTAGAGAAAAGGCAGAAACGCCCACTCAAAGCAGCACTTAGAAGTTGTACGCCAGTAAACAATTCCCTTCACCGAGCAATGGTGACAGTTTGCAGTACACTCCGTTTGTGCTGGCTACGTTAGCACCTTCTTTCTGCTGATACTTTTCCTTTTTAACCAAATAATTACACCATTCTGTCTTAACTCCAGCAAATTCCGTTGGTAACTAACGCCATTACCAAATGACTACATTCAGACATCACACAGAACCCGATGTCGCACAGCTCGTCTGCGTTTAGTGCTTACATTTTTGCAAGTGTTGATATCACTTCAACCAAACACGCCTGAGTAAATAATCGCTCCTCCATTCCACTACTCTCCTTCCAAATTGGCTGCAATACAAAGTCGACTCGAGGACCACCGCTTCACAATCCACCACTTCTCAGCTTCCCATCTGTCTGCTCAATTTCATTGCCGACCTAGTGAGTGGCTAACGATACCACCACCACCACCACTGCCTACGCCCAAACAGACGAAGTGATACGCATCACTTCAAGAAATGCCATGGAAATACACAGGACGTGAACGAGAACACTGAGAATGAAAATAAGACTGTAGATGAGGCTGCACACCTTGCCTTCTCCACGCCCATCCCTCTTCCACCCCCCTCCTCACCCACTCCTTCTCCGTCTCTCTCCCCTTCAATGTACGCATCAATACCTTCCTCCTTCCACACTAGTAGTGCTGTGTCACGCATTGTACTACTGCTCCCAGCTGTTCTAGCCTCCACTCGCCTTTCACCTTTCCTACACCACCCAACCAACCCGATCCTCTCCTCCTTTCCTTGTGTCACATACAACTTCCCCCTATCTGTTCTCACTGGTACAACTGCTTTATTCAAGCCATTTTAAGGCACCGCCTTCTAATACTGACATCATCGCCATTATCATTACCATCATCACCAACAAACCTATAATATTGAAAGCAAGTCTGAATCAAACCATGAAGCAGACCGACTCTGTCCCCACCACATCCAACCGACATTAGGCGTCAAAGGTGCGGGGCTTCAGAAAAACAACAGGAATATAGCAGAGCACGGTACACCAGACTAAAAAAAAGGAACGTCAGGACGCCAGCACACCGACGCCAATCTGCCCGTTAACAATGCACATAAATGTTTTAAATCATTTCATCAAGCCACACCCAAAACCCCAAAACCTCCCAATCTTACACTTATAATGAACAATTTTATTCTCATTCTCAAAACAGGAGAGCACCATCAATTATATGAACAGATCTTGAGAGCAGTCGCGGGAGAAGAATACCTAATATTCATTTTGTAAGGATTTAAATCAAACTAATTTGCTTTTGGGCTAACACCACTTGAAACGACAAACTAGAAGACAACAAAAAATGCATCAAAACCGAATTTTTGATAAAAGAGAATCAAAACATTATCCAAGGACGACGCCTCAAAGAAGCCAATGATCATCGAAACTATAGAAACGTAGATAAAACTTCACGATAGTTTGGAAACCCTAACAATTGGATAGGGATAAAGAAAATGGATTCAG